AAAATGTTTTGTCATGACATCACTTTGATTAGTTGAGTATCTGAGGCTGAAACCACAGGACCGTAAAACATGATTGTTGGGCTTCATTTCTGTACTGAACAGTCATATAAGATTAGCTAGTAAATAAAAATTAGCTAATGTTGGTCATGAGACTAAAATCATCTCACTGTGGTAATGTAATTATAATATGGCCAATATTATATTATTGTCAGATTATTATGATATATATATATATACACACACACACACACACATATACATATATACATATATCACTGACTTTCAGCTTGTTGTGTTTGTGGATATATCATCAGATTCTCTGTAAGATTAAGGTCGACTATATGTATATTTAGAAGTAAAGGCTTTAAAACCAAGTTAACGCTGAAAGTACAAACATCACTAATGTCACATAACTTTGCCACATGTGGCCAACAGCAATGTTTTAATGTTCTTCGTTATTAAACATTCGCACATAATTAAGTGACGTCATATTCAGTACTTACTTTTGACAGTTCACTCTTGGCCGCTCCCTTCTGCCGTATTTTGCGGCAAAATTATCCACACCCACCGCCGCGCTATGAATTGTGGGATATATGGGACCATGAAGCGTGCACCGGACCACGCTTGATATTTGGGGAAATCGACGGCGCATTTGGAGTATGCATTTGAAGTACACCTCGAATTGGGACAGCCGTCGTCGCGTGGCGGTGACGTAACCGCACTTAAAATGCGTACTTCAAGCATCCAGACCCTGAAATGGGACACAGCATCTGTGTTTAGCTGTTTTGTGATTGTCTTGATTGTCTTCACCTGTCTCTTTCCCTTGGCTGTTTCCCTGATTACCTCGGGGGTTTAGAAAGTCACCGTCCTCTGGTCTGTTGTCTGGTCTTTGGGTGACCTCTCCGCTTCTTCGGTTTTCCTAAATAAACGCTTGTTTTTTATTTCTCCGGTCTGTGTTCGGAGTTATCCCTTTGGTTCGACTCTGCATAGACTCAACATAACATAACATAACATAACATAACATAACATAAAAGTCCCGATCTTTTACTCAAGTTCTACCCTTAAACAATATCCTGTTGGAAAGTTAATTGTAAATGTTGCTCTGATCCAGCCTCGTGTCTTTCAAATATACGTTCACAGTTATTACTAATAAAGTGACTGCAGGCTGAATGAAGACTTTATTAAGTCCTTTAATCCCAGACTTGTGCCTTCTTTCTTTCTGATTCTGGATCACAAAGAAATGAACGAATGAAATGTGAAAACATTACGTAATAAGTGTCCCAAAAACACATCAGGCTTCTAAATGCTGACGACAAATGAACTCTGTGCAAGTCTGAGCAGGAAAGTTTGACTCATTTGTTTTACGGTTGCACGTCCTGCATAACTTTCTGAAAGTTCAACAAATGATCCCAACCCCCATCATTAAAGTCCATCTGGAGGCCAAATTGTAGCATATTGTTGATATATTTGTGCACAATGGTAGGATCTGGTCATGTACTGGTCGTTAGAAAAAGTTGCATATGTCCATAAAACCTCTTGCAGTGGGACACGGTCATATTTTGCATTCAGATTAGAGTGAAGAGGCAAAACCTGGAGCGTGGGTCTCCTCGTGTCTTTACCAAAACCTCTAATCGATGAGTTTTGTAGTATGTTTAAGAACTTCAGTGCAGATCTAGTCGGGGAGGTCCTGAATGACCTCAGTCACAGTGATACTCATGAACTATCCACACACTCAGCGTTATTCTTAATGGCCTTATAGTTGTGGAGTTACAGTACTGTGCAAAAGTCTTGAGCCACCCCTCATTTCTTTACATTTTTCCAGAAAATGTGAAATGACTGAAACGATGTACAAGCTGAAAACCTGTTTCCCTTCCTTAACGATGGCTCCTTGACAACCGCACTGAGACCTGCTGAAGGTCCACATGTGTCTCTTGTTTTGGGTTTTTTTAAGGACTTGACTTTCAGACAATGTTTATCTGCTGTACATAGTTTTTCTTAGGCCACTTCTTTCGTCCTCCACTTGTTCAGATTCCTCAAATTCTAAATAACAGACTGCACAGCAGGCTGAGATGTGCCAAGTCTTCAGCTAATAGCTGTTTGGGAATCAGCTTGTTGGTGCAAAAATGCTGTTTTATGTCAAACTGTGTTATCTTTGGTATTTTTCATAGATTAGACTAAAGAAATAGGAACGAATGTGTTTTTGTGAAAAGCTGCTAATAAAAAGTGCCTGAAGATACCATTTCAAACTTTCTTCTTTGCTAAGTTGTCTGTTATGTTTGGACACAAATGCTCAAAATGGTTAGGTACAGGACTGGACTGAAAAACTCTGAAAGACATTTTAAGGAGTTTGTCACCGAAACAAAAAAAGAGGAATGAGTCTTTCACCACCGGCGGGTATCTGCAGAGGCCTTCCATGGTTGTTTGGTACCTTAACCTTCCAGTTCTTTACAATAATGCTGTGATTTTGTAGGATATTATGAAACTATAGAACTGAAACAATGAAGGTGTCGTAGCCCTAGAAATGCTAATATACATATTCCCTTCTACTTCAGAATTGCCCCTCATTGGTAAAAAAAAGGAAAGAAAAACTCAAAAGTCAGCAGTTTTCCTGATTTTACTTCTATAATTTCAAAACTGCAACAAAAAACATAAAAACATGGTACTAAGAGTCTGTGCAGGTTCTCAGTTATCCAGATGATATTCATAAGAGCTGGACTTTTTCTGAGGCCACGTCCACACTAATGCCTTTTCGTTTGAAAACTCCGTTTTGGCCTCCCGTCCACACTGAGACGGCGTTTACCCCGAAGGAAAACGCAGCGTTTTGAAAACGCCCTTGAAAACGCGTACATTTGAAGACGGTGCTATCACGTCGCAGTGTGGACAGCAAAAACTGAGACTTTTGAAAAATGACGCATGTTAGTCATATGATGCAGTCATGTGATCAATTACACTAGTGTGGGCTCTGAGGCTACGTCCACACGTACCCGGGTATTTATGAAAACGCAGATTTTTCTATGCGTTTGCGCCTTTCGTCCACACGTAAACGCCGTTTTCGGTCACTGAAAACTGAGATTTTTAAAATCTCCTCCCAGGGTGGAGATTTTCAAAAACTCAGTTTTTGCATTTACGTGTGGACGAGGCGTCAAAGGTGTGCGCATTTTTTGACGTCACACTGTGCGCCGCGTTATTGTTTTGGTGAGATGAATTTCTACAATGGCGGACGTAGACAAAATACTGTTACTGTTAATTGTTCTCTCTGCAGTGTTTAAATGCTTACATATACACACACAGTTACTGTCCCTCCACACATACGACTCAGTTCTGCTTCTATGCGCCATCTTTGTTTACTTTTTCCCACCGAGGCTTCTTGACTTCTGATTGGCCAACATTTCTGCACGGTTAGGAATATATCGCCACCTGCTGCTTTGGCATGTTCCTAGCAGCGTTTTCCTTCGTTTTTGGCTTTTATGTGTGGACGGGATTTTTTTAATAAACGAAAACAGAAAATCTTTGTTTTCAAAAATACCCGTGTACGTGTGGACGTAGCCTGAGATGCTTCACCAGCAGGAGAGTCTGTAAACCCTACTGGGGGTTGTCCTATTCACACCTTGGCTCATGACATGCATGATTAATAGTGGGTCAACGACCAGCTCCAAAGGTGACAACCCCCACTCAGATTTAAATACCTGGGACTCTCCACCTTTTGGTTGGAGAACTGAAGAAGCCTCTTGGATAAGAGGTGAAGAAAAGAAAAAGAGTGTTATGGCTACGTGACTTATTTATTTGGTTTTGTTCGGAAGATTTTAATTTCTGACTGATTGTTACTTTGAGTCTCTGTGTAATAAATTCATGTTAGTCAGGAGGTAAAATTTTTGAGAAAATGTTGTTGCAGGTGAAGAAAACCTGAAAAGTGTAGACATCTTTTGAGGCGAGGGGCTTGTGCACATAAAAGCAGCACCTACAATATTGTTTCATAAAGCAGCCCCGGGGCTGTGTTTCACCTGCATGTGTGACATTTGGTACACACATGTAACATCACCACAAAGGCTTGTTTCATGTTTTTAGTCACGTGGTTTAACATGAGATAAGATGTACCGCATTAAAAACATAATTGGGAATTTCCTTCAGGACCAGAAATAAAATATAATTTTTTTTCTTCCTGTTGCTTTTGTTTCTGGACCCAAATGTTCGACGACCCAACTGCTGCTCAGTTTAGTTTGTCATTAGTTGAGCATTTGTTTTACAATTTTTTGTTATTATAAAAACTTTGAGTGGACTGAAGCAGTGAAAGTTCATTTATGTTGGTGTTAAAGAGGTTTAGCTGAGTCTTTGTACATGATAAAGAAATGTGTGAAGGGAATCTGTCAGCACAACTCTGTGGGTTTAAATTATAATAAATGTGTAAAATAAGAAGTTTTGTTAATCCATTTTTAAACTGTGGAGACGGTGTAAAAAAACAGATATTTCTACAGCAGCTGGCAAAATCAGTTCTGACATTTACTTGTTTGCATATTACTTAATAACGTTGGTATAGTATGAATGTCTAAGTCCGAGTGTTTGCTGGGCTGATTCTGGCCCCTGGGCCTCATGTTTGACAAACCTGATAGGGGGTATTTATCAGGGTAAAGATTTAAATCAACACAAAGAGATAAGGACTGATTACATCTCCTGATTCTTTCCTTTTTTTCAAGTACATAAAGTTGTCTAAGATATTTTTTCATACTATTGTTCCTACTTTTATTTCAGTGAACTATTTTTATTTTTTAATTTATTGATTGCCACAGCTATAATTTTAGTTATTGCTTTATAATTAGCTTCCTTTAATAACCTAATGTAGTTATATGTTGTATATACATCCTTCGTGTCGATATTATTACTTTTTAAAATCCGCTAAAAGGAGCCGCTGCGGTTAAACTGTTTGAAATGGAATGAAGTAAAGAGTGAAATAAAATAATAACCGTGTTACTGGCTTTAAACTGCCGTGTGTAAACCCCGCCCTCGTGTTCCGTGTCGGTCGGAAATACGTCACGTTTCTGAAGCTAAAGATGCTCCAACTCCGCTGTGAGAGTGACTTTAACATTAAGTTGTACTCTGTGGCAAACTTTGGCCACACCTAGATCCTGTCCAAAAAAAAAAAAAGAAAGAAAAAAAAGGTTTATTATTTTTATTTTTATTTTATTTTTTTTTATTCTTCCTCTGGTGCGTTTGTTTGTGTGTCGGCGAGTCCCGGCGGCGTAACCGGAGAAGGGCCTCACAGAGAGGGGAATGCAGGACTGCAATGGAGCACAATGCAATACAGGTAAAGCCGATGTAATTTCCAAATAAAGCCGTTTATGTCGCTGGTGGCCGGCCGTTTTTTGACCTGTTGACGTGGAGAATATTTTAAGCTAGCGTCGGCGCGGATTGAAGCCTGAATTCTGGGTTTTATTTCATTTACTTTGGCCATGTCGTATTGAGTGTTTTCTCATATCAGCCAAACCCAGGCACGGAGAGTTGCTCTGACTGCAATTACAACTTTATTCAGCCAGGCTCAACTTTTTTCTGGCTCCTAATAAATCGGTGATATTTGTATTTTTCGTGGGGGGAAACAATGGGCTGTGACACCGAGCTGTCGCCTCGTTTCCTATCCTACCCAGCCGTTAAATTCCAGTTTAATATTTCTGATATTTTCTCCGTGTTAATGATTAATTTCTTTGTGTGTCGTGTCGACAGTTTCTTCCTCCGGCTACCAACCCCCACCCACACTAACAAGAAGCACATTAGCTCAAAATAAAATTAAATTCTTGCCCTGAAAATATCAGGAAACTTTTACCCTCCTGTTTTTTTCCAGCCCCAAAGAAAAAGCAGCCGAGCTACCATCGACATGTTCTCCATTTTTATGAGAATTAATTCCCAGCCCGACGAGATATTAGAGATTAGAAATATTTTTCAGGACTAGGTGGAGCAGTGTTGCTTTTAATAGGAAGCATATTGATATTATGATCAAATCCTCCCGACATTTTGTCTCCGCTGTAATTGGCACAGTTTTAAGGAGGAATCTTATTATTGTGTGTTTGCGTGAAGGGGAACTGAAATGTGGAGTTGTTGTTTTTTTTGGTCAAGGCTATTTCAAGTGCAAAATAAAAATAAAATAAAATAAAATAAAAACCGAGCGAGCAGGAAACACGCCAGAGGACACACAGCGAGGGCAGCGTGGGCTTTATAAGAAATAAAAGTCATTTATTTGGACTGAAATCCTCCATGTGTGGCGCTGCGTGGATGTAGAGATATTTAATATTCCACTGCTGCTTGTATATTTTTACAATGTCTCTGTTTAAATATTAATTTACTGCAACACTGAGAGTTTTTCCTTCAGTGCTGAACTTGTGAGCTTTTGAATAACAGGATATACCCAAGGTCAATACTGCTCGCTTTATTTAGTTTATTTATTTATTTATGTGCAAAGCAGGAGACGTTTTTTAATTTCTCTTCCTTCCTGGGTTGAAAACAGTGTTAGAAAAAAAATCTCACTGCATTATTGTCAGAAATATCACGAGAACTGACGCAGGCATGGTGCAGATTAAGGGTTTCCATCTTAAATTCCTGTGTGTGTGTGTGTGTGTGTGCATTTTAGACAGAGGGCTGCCTCTCACAGCTCAGATTATATTATGTGCCTCTTATTTTCCTGCCTGTGGTAGGCTGGAGCACTGCACAGCCCTCCCCCAGGGCCACGGGGGAAAAAAGGAAAAAGATACTGGTAGACGGGGCTCCACTGGATAATGGCATGTTTATGACACAGAAAGCTCACTTCATGCTGGCATTTATCATATATTCTCACTGTAATTAACTTAAATACATGTATGCAACTAATTCAGGGGCTGAAACTGGTTCTGCAGGACTAAATACGGACTTAGTTTGAGTCCTTTTCCTGCTTGTAATTAGAGTCGGGGGATACATTGATACGAAAATGAGTCAGAAACTAATTTAAAGGTGATTTTTGTGTTTGTTGGTGTAAATGAGCTCTCCTACTCAAATGCCTGCATGTCGGCGATTGATTGGTTAGACAATGAACCCATAAAACCTATGAACTAGTTTGTCTGTTGCAGCTCTTTGTGTTCCCATTACTCCAAATTCCTTCAGAAAGTTTGTTGTGCGTCTTTTCCTGCCTCCATATAACAAAGATCTTCCCTTCATGGTTAATGAGTATTCAGCTGAGTTTACACATTAATAAAAATGAATCTGAAACTAATTTAAAGATGTTTATGTTTGAACTTTGCCAGACGAGTGTAACTGAAGATTACTGATCGGTTGGTTATTGATCACACAAATGACCTGCAGACATCTTTGTGTTACGTTGTTGTGTTTCTTGATCGTGTTTGATCAGATATGAGCATAAATGTTTACAGATGATCTTATTGGAGGAAATTATTCGCCTCTGCTGTCGATATCGATCTTCAGTTTGTTAAATGTGAGCTGAACAGTGATTGTACCTTTGTTTACAAAGATCGTAAATTAATAGATTTGTAGAAAAATACTCAGAAACCAGTTTAAAGGTGATTTTTCTGCTCGTTTCTTTTGTTAAATGTGACCCAAATAAGTAGATATATCTGTTCCTACGTGTAAAAACAATTATCTCATTGATAAAAGAAGTCGTTTATATTACTGTGCTGTGTTCACTTTACTCAGATTTCCAATCTAAAGTTATCATTTCATGGATTCATTGATTTGGAGAGCCTCAAACATTTTGATGAACAATTAGTCAGAACTTAACCAACCCAGCGTTGAGCTTCAGCTCATGTGAGTAAATAGTTTCTTTATGTGTTTAAACGTATAAAAGTCAAGACATCTGAGAGTAATCGATTTAGATCCTGGAAGGAAACGAACGAGCGCTGATGCTGGTTTGTCTGTGTGAGGCAGCTGTGTGCTAAACTTGAGCTAAAAAGAAATGTTGTTACTTTGTTGCGTTTTTGCTTTTTCTGCCATTTAAATATTTTAAACTAAATTGCTCAGTGAGTCATTTGGTTCATAGATTAGCAGCTGAACACGAATCAAACAGATGTGATGGTGAAAATGTACGTTTCTTTCTTATGTGTTTGAGTAATAACCTGAGTAATAAGCACATAGTAAGTTGTGTTTTTGTCATCTATCTCTACTTAGGCACATTTTAACAACTAAAATGA